ACAAAGCTCCAAGTAAGTGACCTTACTTATTATCAAGGTACAGTGCCTTCAGCCAGATACAGCCTGTGCCAACGGAAGGCTTCTTAAACAAGAGGACTTTCCTAAGTAATATCAAAGAGGTGTTCAGGCCATGGGTCTAGGACCTAGTGTTTTTATGGTTACCATATGGATAATAGTATCCTTTTTTTTTTTAATTTTTTTTTATTTTTTATTTTTTTTTATTTTTTTGAGACAGAGCCTCAAGCTGTCCCCCTGGGTAGAGTGCTATGGCTTCACTGCTCACAGCAACCTCCAACTCCTGGGCTCAAGCGAGTCTCCTGCCTCAGCCTCCCAAGTAGCTGGGACCATAGGCGCCCGCCACAACGCCCGGCTATTTTTTGGTTGCAGCCATTATTGTTGTTTGGCGGGTCCAGGCTGGATTTGAACCCGCCACCTTAGGTGTATGTGGCTGGCGCCTTAGCCGCTTGGGCCCCAGGCGCTGAGCCGGATAATAGTATCCTTATACTGTACTGTTCTCTGAAGAGGAGGAATAGCCAAATCTTGCTGGTGGCCAGAAATCTTTTATGGAAGCTCTCTTAAGTATAGTGTTGAAAGCATTATAGCTAATGTTAAACAATATAAAGCAATATTATAGCTAATAAAGCCGAGTAGCATTCAGAGATATGGTAATTTGATTTAAATTAAGCATTATGCAAAAAATCATGGCTAACCCAGCAGATATCAACTCTAGTCAAAACCCTTGGAATAAATTTAAGCATGATATATTTTTAACAACTAACAACCACGATTTATAACTCACTAGTCAGTTATACTCCTATTCATTTTGAAATTCTGCAGAGAAATCAGTTAGATTATATCTCTAATATTATAAGTGAATTATTTGAAAACAGAGATTGGAAAATGAAGTGGTTTATTGTTGAGATTTTTTAGTTTTTGATTATTAAGTAAATGGTTAAAACATTCAGCCTTTACTAAGCAGAAAATAAATTAGAAGCCTGTTGTCATCAATATCTAGACAATATTATGTGGTATTATTCAGTGCTATAAAATGTGTGCTAAAATGTATATACTAGGGACACCTTTTTCTGTGCTAGATGATGACGGTTTATCTTATGTAAGATTTTCACTGAATTAACAAATGGACTTCTGATGCTTAGAGTGCAGCATACAATTTTACAATCCTTTTTGAAGCAGTTCACATATATGTATTTCTTTTAATTTTTAAATTTCAAGATAATACTTTAGAAAGCATTGACATTTTAAACTGTCAAACTGTATAGACAACAGGTAGATTCTTATTTTACATTAACAGTTAGAGTTAAAGGAAAAATATTTATGTGTTGAAACTTAAGGCATGTTTACTATTTCCAGATTATATGGGATCATATGAAACAGCAATTATGTTTGTACTGGATCTAGTAGTAGAGCATGTGGAATTGTGGAGAAACAGTTAACAGCACTTGTGCATGCATTTGAATTCATTCACTCCTTTTGGAAAGAGAAGGCCTTGCTCTTCATTATAATCCTTGTTGGACTGTTCTTATCCCTCCTTTCAAAGGATAGGATTGACCTTTACAGAATTGAGTGACTTCAGCTATTGAGTGAAATGGATTTCCAAAGGTGACAAAATCATTGAATTTGGGTAACAAAAACTGTGGGTGAGGGCGGTGCCTATGGCTCAAAGGAGTAGGGCGCTGGCCCTATATGCCTGAGGTGGCGGGTTCAAACCCAGCCCCGACCAAAAACTGCAAAGAAAATAAATAAATAAATAAATAAATAAATGGCAAAAACTGTGGGTGAACAGTCTGTATGAGAAAATTCTCAAATTGTACAATGCATGGTTTGTATATGTCCTTGTTTGTTTTTGCAGAGAATGATGGCTTTATAAATTTGGGTTCTACATGTGTATCTCATACCTATTGCTGATTTGGAGCTATATCATCGCAATAAAGTGAATGTCACAATAAAGCAAGTCACAGATTTCTTGGTTTCCCAGTGTACATAAAACTTATGTTTACACTATACTATAGTGTAGTCTGATAAGTGTGCAATAGCATTATGTTTAAAAATGCACATAGTTAAATTAATAGTTAATTGCTGACTAATCAGGGTGGTAGTTGCTGAAGGTTGGGTGGCTGTGGCAATTTCTTAAAACAATGCAACAATGAAGTTAGGTTAGTTTTTCTGACAGAGTCTCACTCTGTTGCCCCAGGCTACAGTGCCATGGCATCAGTCTAGCTGACAACAACATCAAATATCCAGGTTCAAGTGATCCTCCCATCTCAGCCTCCCAAGTAGTTAACACTATAGGTACCTGCCATGACACCTCGCTACTTTTTCTGTGTTTAGTAGAGATGGGATCTTGCTCTTACTTAGGCTGATCTTGAACTCCTGAACTCAAGCAGTCTTCCTGCCTCAGCCTCCAGAGCACTAGGATTGTAGGTGTGACCGACTGTACCCAACAACAGTGAAGTTTTATTACATTGGTTGACTCTTCTTTTTATGAAAGATTTCTCTGTAGCACAAGATGCTGTTTTATTTGCTCACTGTAGAATGTTTTTCAAAATTGGAGTCTTGCTTTATCAACTAAGTTTATATAATATTCTAAATCCTTTTTAGTCCTTTAAGCAATGTTCATAGCATCTTATTAGGAGTAGAGTCCATCTCTAGGAACTACTTTATTTGCTATTCTATGAAAAGCAAATTCCTCATCCATTCGGATTTTATCATGAGATTGCAGCAATTTGTTCACATCTTCGCTTCTCATTCTAGTTCGCTTACTATTTCTACTACATCTGCAGTTACTCCCTCCACTGAATCTTAAACCCTCAAAGTCACCCATGAGGGTCGGAACTCTTGTTCTAACCTCCTGCTAATGTGGATATTTTGACCATGAATCACAAGTAGTCTCAATAGCATCTGGTATGTTGAATCCATTGTAAAAGGTTTTCAATTTACTCTTCCCAGATCTGTCAGAGGAAGCACTATAGCGAGATCTTCTGAATAGCTTGCTGCGGCTTCTGCAGCAGCAGCACTTGCTGCTCCCCCTTGCACTTTTACGTTATGGAGATGGCGTCTTCCTTTAAACCTCACAAACCGACCTCTACTGCTTCCACCTTTTATTCTGCAGCATCTGCACCTCTCTCAGCCTTCATAGGGTTAAAGAGCATTAAAGTCTTTCTCTGAATTAGGCTTTGGCTTAAGGGAGTGTTGCAGCTGATTTGTTTTCTATGCAGATAACTAAATTTTCTTTATGCCAACAGTAAGGCTGTTTGCACTTTCTCATCATTCGTGTGTTCACTGGAGTAGCACTTTTAATTTCCTTGAACTTATCCTTTGCATTCACAACTTGGCTAGTTGTTTGGCATAAGAAGTCCAGGTTTTGTCCTGTGTCAGCTTTTGGCATGTCTTCTTCACTAAGCTTAATGATTTCTGACTTTTTATTTAAAGTGAGATATGTGTGATTCTTCTTTTCAACTCAACAGAGGCCATTGTAAGGTCATTAATTGGCCTAATTTCAATATTGTTGTGCTTTGTGCCTCAGGAAATAGGGAGGCCTGAGAAGAAGGGGAGATAGGGAGAATAACGAGTCCAGGGAGCAGTAAGAATACATACAATATTTATCAATTCGTCATCTTTTTTGGGTACCCCAAAACAATTACAATAGTAATATCAAAAATTACTGGTCACAGATCACCATCACAGATATTATAATAATGATGAAAAAGTTTGAAATATTGAAAGAATTTCTAAAACATAACATAGAGGCACAAAGTAAGCCCATTCTTTTGGGAAAGTGGCCCTGATAGACTGGCTTGATGCAGAGCTGCCACAGACCTTCAGTATTTAAAAGGCACAGTATCCACGAACTGTGGACAGTAGTAAACCAAAGGAGGGACAGTAACAGCGTGTGTGCCTGTTTATCTTGCTGTGAATCATACGAATTCTCTAGTTAATCTCATAAGCAGTTCTCTTAAATTTGATTCCAATGACAACAGTAAATACACATTATTAAAAGACATTTTCAGTGTCTTCAGAATTCTCTACGTAGTTCATTCATAAGTAGATATCTATGCTAATTTTGTAGAAGCTGGTGGGCTTTGGTAGAAAAGAGGAGCAAATTGGCCAAATTTTCTGTAGCAGTAGTAGAAATATCCACATATCCTTATTTTATCTAAAATAAAGGAAACACTTATTTCTGACGTGGTCTTTGTAATTCTATATAGTGTTAATTTAGTAGTTGTGCTTGATTTGAAAGACAATGATTTCTTTTAGTGCGACTTACTTAGTGGTAGTATAATTAGATTGCTTGCATTTAATCCTGTGTAGTTTTAAGTGGAAAGATGGACTTAATATATTTAGTATATATGCAGAAAAATGATTGAATACTAAAATCAGGTTAATACATTGCTTGCCAGTGGCCAAAGTAAGCTTTAATAGGTTGATACTTGACTATTTTAGGACTTCTGTTATGAATTTGATTCTCTCCCCCTTTTTAAATATTCAGCAAGCCAAGGTAGCTTACATAAAGAAGTAGTAAAGACAAGAATACAGTATTTGTTTGTAGCAGCATCATGAATGAGTTTTAAAATATCTATTGTGGGTAGTTTTGATGAAATTCATGGGAAAGAAGACAAACTTTAGATAATTTAAATATTTAATTCAAATGAAACATTTTTTAATTTTGGTAGAACGTTTCCTTGCTGACACTTTCCTCACTTTCCTTTTTGGGTATAGGTGCATGTTTTGGTAACTTCTTAGTGATAATTGATTATGTTGATGCTTGACATAATCTTCAGCCATGTTGTATCTCTCTCATGATGTTTCTCATGTACCACGTTTACCATTTATGGAAAGTCCAGTACCTTGTTTTACAACATAACACTTAAACTATTTGTGAAAAAGACTTTTCTGTGTATTTGTAAAGAGTAGCTTTTAGTCCATTTATCTTACTCAGCAAATTGAGCCCCTAGCATGCTATACTCTGATTTTTTTTGCAGTGTACCCGTGTGATGTGGACGCCACCACTCCGTGAAAGCTTCTCGTATCCGTTTCTTGTACTTCAGATGTTGCTTGTGACTCATATTCTCAGGTAACTTTGACTTAACTTTAGGTGGTTTTCCTTTGTTTTTGCATTAAATAACTTAAGCTAGAATTTAAGCTTTTTCAATTATAAAGTCAATAAAATAAAATAATTAAGTGATATGATCCTAACGTTAAATAATAAAGATGAGTATAAAAATACGTAATACCCAAAACATTTCCTCCATCTGCCTTCTGGCCCTCTTCTTTTTTCTTAGTGGGCCACAGTGACTGCTAGAAGAGCAGCAGACATACATTATTTCACCTCTTCTGTCATTTCCACTTCTCAAGTCTTTTGCTGCCACTGTAGCCTCCTAAAAATGGGCAGAAAGAAGGGAGAGGCTGATTGTGCTAGAGTGTATCCTGTTAGATCTAGTCTTTCAGAGCAAAGAACGGTTCACGGAATTGTTGTAATCAGGTGCATCAACACATGTAACTCTTTCCAGCATCCTGAGAATCAGATAATAGGGCCAGAAACGAACCACCTCAGTAGAACTGCCAGAAATTGAAGATTAGATTAGGCTTCCACACGTTCATCTCTGTTCACATAGAGATTCAAGCACCAAAGAGAGTAGGGCTGAGAAGAATTCTTTCCTTTTTCTGTTGGCAAATACTGAGTTTGGACAGATGCTGCCTTGCTCAAGAGGGCAAAAATGAAACAAAACAGGACCTGTGGAAAAACAGAACAAAGCATGATGGAAACCTGCAGATGACTCAGACTAAGAACTCCCTTCGGTGATCTGAATTCGAAAGAACCTTGTTAAAGTTTCTTAATCCCAAACCCAGTTCTCTCTGTGATTATCTCAGCTGGCCGATAGCCATTATATGGCTTTTGGGTTCATTTCACTCATGCCTTTACATAGAACATGGGATAGATGGTGATTTTGCATTAGCTTTTTTGCATTAAAAAGCTCATATACAACTCCAACTTCAACTTCACTGCTGTTCTTTAAGCTTCTCTTCTAGGAATTTAAAGCTTCTTTAGCATCTTCAAATAAGGTGAACCTCTGTGAATACATAATGTTGACCTCTCTCTTGCTGTTTTTGGGACACCTTAAGAGACATTCCTTTCTCAGACATCTCTGGAAGGAGTGTCGGACTGTAAGAGAGTCTTCGATTCACCATGCAGATGCTGTCTTTCCTCATCCACATTCTGGAGACTGGTTTATTCCTTGTTGTGTAGACAGTGGACTGCATATCAGTCTCACTTCCTACTTTTCTTCTACCTTTGCTTCTATCTTAACTCCAGCAAAGGCAAACCTGTGGTTCTTCTTACACTCACTCACTGATCTGACCTGACCCAAGTAGCTGTGGATGCTGCTGTTCCACGTGCTGATCATGACTTCCCTGAACCCCTCCATCCTATAGATGGCTTGCTAGTTTGTGAGTTGCATTAGCCAGTGACCACAAACTGAGTTTTATTATCTTAAGTTCCTTTGGTCTGAAGTCCTAAAATTAAGGTTTTTGCAGGGCTGCACTGTTCCTTGAGATTCTGGGAGAGAATCAGGTTTTTTACCTTTTTTTTTTTAAAGCTTCTAGAGGCCGCCTGCTTTTCTTGGCTCATGGCCCCTTCTTTCATCTTCAAAGCCAGCAATGGCAGGATGAGTCCTTTTCTCATCAGTTCACTACAACCTTCTCTTCTGCCCCTCTTCCACTTTTCAGGACCTTTGTAATTACACGGGGCCTACCTGGAGAATCCAGGCTACTGCCCCTGTCTTAAGAGAAATCTTAATCCATCTGCTTTCTTAGTCCCCTTTGCCCTGCAACATGATGCTTTCACAGGTTCCAGGGATTAGGACACAGACATCTTTGGACGCCCATTTTCTGCCTACCACAGTGGAGCAGTTCCAGTTGCTGTTTCCTGCCACCAGGGGCTGCTTTCTTTTGCGTTCTCTGTTTTGGTCTCCAGGTACCTCTGAGGCAAGCTTCAGCCTCATAATCACTGTCATTTTCAGCCATATCTACCTCCTCATTCCTGTATTTACTTTGGTTTTGCTGAAAAGTTTTAGGGGACTTCCCTTTCTTCAGAATCTTCTTCAATCTCTGTTTTTATTCTGGTTGACATTTTCCCTTTCGTGTTTCTGTTTGAAGCTAGAGCAGCTGCTGCTGTCCAGCTGTGCATGCTGCTGTTCCACGTGCTGACCACGACTTCTCTGAACCCGTCCATGCTATAGATGGCTTGCTAGTTTGTGAGTTGCATTAACCAGTGACCACAAACTGAGGTTTATTATCTTAAGTTCCGTTGGTCTGAAGTCCTAAAATTAAGGTTTTTGCAGGGCTGCCCTGTTCCTTGAGATTCTGGGAGAGAATCAGGTTTTTTGCCTTATGAGGCTTCAGCCTCATAATCACTGTCATTTTCAGCCACATCCACCTCCTCATTCCTGTATTTACTTTGGTTTTACTGAAAAGTTTTAGGGGGCTTCCCTTTCTTCAGAATCTTCTTCATTCTCCGTTTTTATTCTGGTTGACATTTTCCCTCTTGTATTTCTGTTTAAAGCTAGAGCAGCTGCTGCTGTCCCGCTGCTGGTTTGGATTCACTGTGGTGAATTCTAGATCTTCCTCCCCACTTCACTGGTGTCTGTCACTTCTCATTTGGGCAGCTTTCCTATTTCAGTGTTTTGGTCGGCCTAGCTCTCTTTTTGCCTGGTGTGGCTGTGGTGTAGTAGCTGGTGTGACTGGTTGTTTGGAAGTATGGTGGTTGCTTTTATTTTGCTTAGGGTGACAACTGCTTTCTTGGAAGCTGCAGTCTTGTTAGTGGGGGAACCACATTCTCCTTTCCTGGAGATGTGGCAAACTTCTTGCCTTTGTTCTGAAGGATAACAACCTTGTCACTACCACTCATCTGTCTTCTGGTATTTTATTCTTGCTACTGCTATCTCTCTCTTTTAGAAGAGTAGCCATTCCTGTATTTCTTGGTTTCCTTCTTCCTGTAGTTGATATCTCATGATATCAAAGGGAGGTGGTGGGTAAATGGCTAGAGTGAGCCAAGATAGCAGCTGAGCAGTGTTGTTGTAGGCTGCAGAGCTGAGGATATGGCGGTAAAAGTGGAAAAAGAACAGCTCCTGAGTGCTAGGAATTATTTACATATAAAGTTAGCAGTCTATTTTAACAAATTGGTTTTGTCCCGTTTCGAATTTTAAGTATTTTTTTGAAATTCAGTTTTATTAAATTACCTGATAGTAGCAGTCTTTGCTTTTTTTGATTGTTCTTAACATTTATGTTTTCATGTCTGTTACTTTGGGTGACTGCTATATTGATGGCTAGTTGGAATTTCCTTGTTTTCTATTTGTACTTATTTCCTCCCAGTGCCCAGCAGATTAGTATTATATTCTCAGAAATCTTTAATGTCTTCTGTTACCCATAAAATAAAAATCATTTTTAGTATTCAGAAGTAGTGGGAAATGCTTTCTTTATTTTAGACGAGGCTTTCAATTTTTTTCGACTGTGATCTATAAGAAATAAGAAATTTTGCTTTGTATTCTAGTATACACAAATGTGTGTCTATACAACTGAGACAAGTTTCACAGAATAGAATTCTTAGGAAGGAAGATGCAGTCATAGATACTGTTTCAGTCTATTCCTCTCTATTAACAAATACTGGGTTTTATCTAGTAAATTAGTTTCATAACTTATTCATAGGTAACCTGGATATTAGAAACACTCTTTTTGGACCAGAATAGCAGAAAAGGGATGTCCTTTGGAGAAAGGCTACTCGAGGAACTGAGGCAGGGCATTCCGTGGTGGGTGCTCGGTGCCCCTTAGGTCTATCGAACCAGGAGTTCCCTCAATGTGTTCCCTTCTGCGAAGACATTAGGTGTCTTTGGGAGCGTTGCTTTACAGATTTTAGGAGAAAAGATAAAATGACTTCACCCTTGTAAAAATCTCCTAAACAAAGTGAAGCCTCCGAAGGCAGGTGCAGAATGGCCCTTGGCCTCCTCTTCACTTTTCATTGTCCTGCCTGTGCAGGGCCCGATGTACATCTCACATCCTCCCGGAATCTCCCGATGTACATCTCACATCCTCACGGAATCTCCCGATGTACAGCTCACATCCTCACGGAATGTCCCGATGTACAGCTCACATCCTCACGGAATGTCCCGATGTACAGCTCACATCCTCACGGAATGTCCCGATGTATAGCTCGCATCCTCACGGAATCTCCCGATGTATAGCTCGCATCCTCACGGAATCTCCCGATGTATAGCTCGCATCCTCACGGAAT